GAAGGCTCCCCTCCCCCCATGCTGATGATCGTTCTCTATTAACCCTTCGCTGTCTCTCTATTGCAGATGAAATCAAGACGGAGCTGGAAGTGGAGAGGTGAGTGTTGGATGTGAATGCCGGGCGGAGCGCTCAGAACACGTGTGTGAGGCGCTTCATGTACACGTGTGTGTGAGGCGCTTCATGTACACGTGTGTGTGAGGCGCTTCATGTACACGTGTGTGTGTGAGGTGCTTCATGTACACGTGTGTGTGTGTGTGTGGGTGGGGCGCTTCATGTAAGCGGGTCCATGGTGATTTCCTGTCTTGCAGAAGCTGATTGCGTACGGCCACATCACGGGAAACGCTCCAGATAAAGGCGTCGCGGGGAAGCGGCTCATCGACCGCATAGTGGACACCGTCTGCAACTGCTTCCAGGGCCCCCAGACAGACGAGGGGGTACAGCTCCAGATCATCAAGGTAACCGCGCTGGCGTCCCGTGACCGACGGCGTTACAAACACGCGTGACGCCTCCCGGGTTTCTCTTCCGTTATTAGTAGAGGAGTTTCCCTCAGATTACCTTTCATCCTGAAACCTGAGCAGAGAGGAAAGCGGTGCGCACAACCTCTGATGGGAGGAGTCCGGGCTCAGTGACCCCGGGTCACAACCTCTGATGGGAGGAGTCCGGGCTCAGTGACCCCGGGTCACAACCTCTGATGGGAGGAGTCCGGGCTCAGTGACCCCTGTGTCTGATCCCGCTGCCACACCATGGGGGACCTCCTATTATTATAAGGACTTGTATGGCGCCATCAATGTACATAAGCATCAGTCCCTGCCCCCAAGGAGCTTACAGTCTAAGGCCCCCATCCCCCATGGACACATACACATTCATCTAACAGCATGGAGTGTGTGAGGAAACCCAGGCAAGCACAGAGAGGACATGCAAACTCCATGCATATAATGTCCTGGCCGGGATTCCAAGCAAGGGCCCCGGTACTGCAAGGCAGGAGTGCCAACCCCCGAGCGTCTGTGCCGGAGCGGTCTATCTCAGTAATAGCAGGAAAGTCCATCACCGCAGTGGTAATCGGTGACTCCTCTGTGCCCGGGGACACGCTGCTTATCCGCTCCGGTTCTTCTCATCATCCGCTCCGGTTCTTCTCATCATCCGCTCCGGTTCTTCTCATCATCCGCTCCGGTTCTTCTTCTCGTCATCCGCTCCGGTTCTTCTTCTCGTCATCCGCTCCGGTTCTTCTTCTCGTCATCCGCTCCGGTTCTTCTCGTCATCCGCTCCGGTTCTTCTCGTCAGCCATCATTGTCATGTCTCTCTATTGGCTTTAGGCTCTGCTGACCGTTGTCACCTCCCCCTATGTGGAGATCCACGAGGCCACCGTCCTCCAGACTGTTCGGACCTGTTACAACATTTATCTGGCCAGCAAAAACCTGGTGAATCAGACCACTGCTAAGGCCACGCTGACCCAGATGCTGAATGTCATCTTCACCCGTATGGAAATGCAGGAGGTAAGAGAGATGTGATGTAGGGAGGGGGG